TATATATATATATATATATATTTGATAAATAGATAAATAAATATAGATAGATTGATAAAGTGTGATAAGACACGTGATGAATAGAGTGTTCATATTTTTTCCTTTACTAATCAAATAATAAACCTGTGTTTCAAAAACCGTATTTTGGTACTGATACAAGTTTATTTGATTTTGACATCAATGTTGACACAAGGCTTTGTCACTGTGGTCTGCGATATAATCCATTATCAAATCATTGCATGAAACGGATCTGCAAAGTTAATTGGTGGCATTTTGTAATTATCTTCAATCTGTTTTGACTTGTGTGGGTTCTGGTATATATTCCTTTTCTAGTTAAAGTCATTTTTTAATCTATTTTCCACGAATCAGACTATAGCCTTCAACATAAACCAATCAAATAATCAAAATGCAAATTATTTTTTATTAAAGGATCAGGTGTATAATTCTCCCAGCCATGCATTGACAAGTGCATATAAAAATTCATGCAAAAGATGCCCTATTTTCTCTTTTGGTAACATTCTATTAATCAGAAGTAGACAAGCATTGTATATCTCCACCTTGGTGGAATTTGGCTGAGTTGTCCTTAAGATTAGAAAGTTGTTGAGAAATATTAAAATTCATTATTCGCTATCGAAAAAGTATTCATATCTTAAATTTGGCGAATCAAAACAATTTGGCAATTTGTGCTTCAATATTTCATCACGTGTCTTATCACACTATATATATATGGGCTACACATACGGCCATTCACCAGATTAAGGTATAAGGTGTGTGCTTGACTGAGAAATAAACAAGTTTAATTATTTCTTAGGTCTATGCATGGAGATTTTAATAGAGAATGCATTTTAGTGACCTCAAAGGCTTCCACTACTGCATGTTTCTATTGGTTTTAATACCCAGAAACAAGTAGTAGTGGAATGTCTTTAGGTACGTTAAAAGCAACTGCTCAACTTTTTATCCATCTGAAACATCTACAATATCTTTGAGCCAAACACTGACTTTACCTACATGGCTATTTAACTTCTTGAATAATTTTTTATAATGTTCTGTTGCAGGTATATTGGAGTTCCTCCATAACTTCATCCGTGCACCTAAATATACATTCCAGAGTTCACTTTCCAATTCTTTAATCGATGATGAGATCTATTATTGTCTGTTCAGATAAATGTTTACTTTTCTAGAGATCTATTAGGATTTGTTTAAAAATACATTTTTGAAAAAATTAATATGAAAATTTTTTATACATGAAAAAATTTATTTAATTTATTTATTATTATTATTTTAATTGTATATATATAGAAAAGTTTATCTAAACAAGTCTTTAGTAAACTTGAAAGTTGAAACCCTTATTATAGGCTTGTTAGATCTTCCTTTGAAGCAACAAAGATATCCAAATTATCCACCAAAAAGAAATAAAGAAGATTTTTTTTTTTTTGGTTAGAAAAAAGATATATTGAAGAAGATAAAGGGTATATAAGGAGTACCCAACCCTTACAAGTGATGTACTAAATAAAAGAGA